TACATATACATATATATATAAAAATGGTGGTTTTGGGACTCTTTGGGAGTTCAGGGCGCCCAGTAATCCCAATATTGCCCAGCAGCAGAAGGTAGCACAGGTCTGGTTACAATCCTGGCTTTGATACTATCTAGCTGTTTGACTTTACTGAATCTCCCGGCCTCAAACCCCTCATCTGCCAAATGGGGGTAATACACTTTATGGGACTGTAGAGACCTAGAGATAATGTTTTTAAAAGTAACCCGCACAGAATTTTGGAGTTGCACCTAGGCCCTACGATTTCTGGCTGTGTGATCTTCATTTGCCAAGTTTCATAAGCTTCCGAAGCCTTGCTTCATCTGCAAATAGGGTAGAGAAGGCCATCACGAGAGACGACAAAGGTCACTACACGATACTAAAGGGATCGATCCAACAAGAGGCTATAACCCTGGTAAACATATATGCACCCAATATAGGAGCACCTAAATATATAAAAAACTGTAAGCAGGATAGATACCTGTTTTACAGTCACAGTGCCTGCCACAACTATATACTATGTAATTCTTCCTTGTGCATTCCAGCCCCACTAGCTCCGGGCTTGCATACCGTGGACTCATTATCTCTGAAAGTCTGAACCACTCCACCAAGTTTATTAAATGAGTCATCCCTCTTAATTCCCTTCGGGGCACAGGTGTTATTCAAAACTTTCTCTCAGCGTCTCCTGAAGTCTTTTGTTAAGACTAGGAGGAAGGTGAGAGTCCCAAGACTCAGGCATTTGACCTTCCTGCCCTCCCCAGGGTCTCACCTGAGAGCAGCCCAATACTCAGGTACAGGTGGGTCAAGGAGGTGGCGTAGGAGGCCAGCAGCATCCCCAGCGCTGCCAAGATGCCCCCAGTCATCACCACTGGCCTTGGCCCGAACTTCGTGCTCAGGGCACTGCCCACGGGGCCTGGGGAAGAGGAAGGTGTTCTGTGAGAAGGCTCCAAGCATCCTTCTCCGGCAACACTCCCCCATCTCCCCGCTCCTCCCTCCCTGTCTCCGCATTCCCTCTCCCTCCCGAGGGTCTGGGGACACCGGCCCCAGGCGCAGCACTCACTCCCAAACTGCTGCACGGCGATGCCTATGGAGGCGATCCAGGAGACGCGCGCGGCCGGCTCGTCAAACGCCGCCACGAACTCCACGAAGAAGATGCTGAAGGAGCGGAGCACCCCGAACACCAGCGCCGATTGGAAGAAGGCCGAGAGCACCACCATCCAGCCCCAGCCCCCGTCTGGGGGCTCGGTCCTGCGCGCCATGCGGGAGGTCACCGAGCTGCGGGTCCGAAAGCCCCGGTGGGAATCAGGCTCGGGACCTCCCCCCCCGCCCGCCCCCGGCCACGCG